TACTAGATATTAATTAAATTATAAATATATCAATTTATGTGAATATGACTGAAAAATTTCATTTTTTCTGAAAAGGTGGTGTCTATTTACTTGTGACCAAGCTGTGTATATCAGAGGTAGGTACTTTGTTTCTGTATGCTAGAAAATACCATACAGTTATAACTCAGTTTGGTGCTTTGTTTGTGTATGCTAGAAAGTACTATACGCGTATATCTGAGCTTGGTACTTTGTTTGTGTATGCTAGAAAGTACTATACACGTATATCTGAGCTTGGTACTTTGTTTGTGTATGCTAGAAAGTACTACACGCATATATTTGAGCTTGGTACTTTCTTTGTGTATACTAGAAAGTACTATACATGTATATCTGAGTTTGGTACTTTATTTGTGTATAACTGAGCTTGGTACTTTGTTTGTGTATGCTATAAAGTACTATACACGTATATCTGAGTTTGCTACTTTGTTGTGTATGGTAGAAAGTACTATACATGTATTAGAAAACAACAAGAGTAAAATTCAAACTGTAGATGGTTTTGTTTTCAACATTCCTCTTAATTTGCACACTTCAGATTTAAAATTAAGGATGGTTAAAAATATTATTTACCTGCCTCTGAATCGGAATCTGAAATGGCCAAATTAAGAGGGATATTGAAAACAAAAATACTGCAGTTTAAGCATACTTTACTAGAATTTTTAGACCTATTGTTTTCTAGCACTGTACTTGTACAAGTACTATGAAGAAATTGAAAAACTACTATTGTGCATACTTGAGTAAGTCAAGCAAAGAAACTCAATAAACAAAACATAATTAATTCTGTGTAAATTTTATTTTATAATACATTGACAAATATAAACTTTCACATGGCTATGGATTATACCAGTCGAGGAACAGCAGTGAAAAGGAAATTACCAACAGAAAGAACAAGATCCAAACACGAAATCCTGCATTTTTCTTCATAGCCTGCGACACAAAGAAATTAGCAAAAATCACTTACAGCCTGACATTTTCTATTTCTTAATAATAGTTTTCCTGTGTCTTATCATTATTTGTTAGCAAATAACTTATATTTATGCCAGTTAAGTGGAAATACTTAAGATAAAGCTAAAACCAAATTTGTATGTATTACATTTTGCAAGTTACTCTCAAAGAACAAGGCTGTGTGTATGATCTTTGTATGGAAAGGAAGGAGGATAGAGCTTTAAAGTCTCTAATATAGTGTGAAATTCTAAGGATGGTGCTGAATTATGAACTAGTGTTTTACACTGAAAGATAGACACAAATCAAAATTCCAATATCTGACCGACATCTGTATAAGGAACAAATAAAAACTATCTATAGATGACTCTGCTCAGGCTCTAATAGACATTTCTTTTTTTACACTCAACCTCCTTTCTTTCTTGCTACTAGTTAGAGAGATGAGAACCATGGATCTTTGAAAGAAACCACATACGTATTAAAATTAAATTGTAATTAAATGATAGATTGTGATTCAGATATATATATATTTCTTTCCTGGCTTTTAATAATGAAATATGTACTCCAAATGTTAGGATTCTTATGATGAGTAATGAATGTGAAACAACGTTGTATGATATTTACAAACATAACTAAGAGTGGTACATTTATGGAATTTGTATGAAACTGTTTAAATAGTAATAAATTCAGTAAATTTCAAGTTCTCGTAAAATATATTTTCCATTTAATCAATGTTCACTAACAGCAATGATATAATATGTTAAAAAATCTCAAACTGAAAATTATTAACTGAACTGGTGACAGAAAACATCAGAACACATCATGACAAGAAATATTTTCCTTTTGGAAATTCTTGGTATAAAAACCAGTTTAATAATTACATGTATATTTAGTAAATAATTTAAATTATAAGTGTGAGGAAAAGACAAATTTGGTACTTTTTTCCTAGAAACCAATAGAATTTCTGGCTAAAATATGCTCATTTTAAGTATAGAGTTTTGACTCAATGAGTAGAAATTGATACATCATGTAACATGCTTCCTATGTAATAACTGTTTTGTATATTTTCCAAGCATACTTACAAAATACATTTGTTATTATATTAATCACATGTTCATGTATGTTCTCAAGTTACCCAGTCAATTTAAATTATACAATGTTTCTCAGGTTTCTTTACTCCAGCTCTGTATACAATATAAAATGTTTCAAAGGAAAATTAAATACTGTATGTCCTACCAGCCAATTAAATTGCAAAATACAAAAAAGCTTTTGTTACTTCATAATAATTTTATTCTGTATTCTATTAGTCTTCCTCTGTGACTGAACAAATTTCTTATATGTTTGTTTTTCAACAAAGGCTGTCTGCATTGAGTCTGGCATAGGGATCAAATCCCAATTTGTAATCTGTAAAGGGTGATGTGTTTAAAAAATATGGGTATTGATAAAAAGAGATTAGGTTTTAAAAATAAAATCAAACTAATGCTGTTTCAAAGGTATATCCCTTCAAAAACAGAATGGTCCATAAAAAACAACTGTCTTAGATTAATGGAGAAAAACAAGGCTTGATAAATGGTCGGTAGTTAATGTTGCAGTTTTGTTAGTAAAACTTAGAAAGTACCAGACACGGTTCTAAAGGAGACTAATTGTGTGGGACTCATTATACAAGTAGTTAATGTTGCACTTTGTTAGTAAAACTTAGAAAGTACCAGACACGGTTCTAAAGGAGACTAATTGTGTGGGACTCATTATACAAGTAGTTAATCCATTTACTTATATCTGATAAACGTACTAAAACCTCTATTTTATAACACTAAAACCTGGAGGAAAAAAAGAAATTTCTCCTTCAAGCAAAATCTATTTTGTAAAGTATAAAAGAAAAACAATTATCATGGAACTTATCATATATCCATTTAAAGAAAGGAAAAATAATTACAACAGTTAAAAGTTATTTTAAAACAAAAACTTTAATCATATTTTCTTTATTGTGATATCTACTTTTTCAACTGTGATTATGGCTTCATTGTATATTTCATTAAACTTTTCTTCCTCCTGTAAACTATTTGTCTCTGTTGCTGTAGATGTTTATAAGTTCAGTATATGAACTGTAGTACAAAGAAAATGACCGAGGAAGTGTAGATAGAAAACTAAGAGTTTCTAAGAAGTCATCAAGACAGACTGAAAAACAGAAGTGTAACTACAGAACTGACAGTTTCTAGGAGATCATCAAGATAAATTACCAAAACAGAATTATACATAAAGAACTGACAGTTTCTAGGAGGTCATCAAGACAAAATACAAAAACAGAATTATACATACAGAACTGACAGTATCTAGGTCATCAAGACAAACTACCAAAACAGAATTGTACATACAGAACTGACAGTTTCTAGGAGGTCATCAAAAAAAACTACCAAAACATGAGTGTAGCTACATAACTGACAGTTTCTAGGAGGTCATCAAGACAAACTACCAAAACATGAGTGTAGTTACAGAACTGACAGTTTCTCAGAGGTCATCAAGACAAACTAACAAAACAGAAGTGCAGCTACAGAACTGACAGTTTCTAGGAGGTCATCAACACAAACTACCAAAACCAAAGTGTAGCTACAGAACTGACAGTTTCTAGGAGGTCATCAACACAAACTACCAAAACCAAAGTGTAGATAAAGGACTAACAGTTTTTAGGAGGTCATCAAGACAAACTACCAAAACAAATTTATACATACAGAACTGACAGTTTCTAAAAGGTCATCAAAGCAAACTACCAAAACATGAGTGTAGCTACATAACTGACAGTTTCTCAGAGGTCATCAAGACAAACTAACAAAACAGAAGTGCAGCTACAGAACTGACAGTTTCTAGGTCATCAACACAGACTACCAAAACAAAAGTGTATCTACAGAACTGACAGTTTCTAGGAGGTCATCAACACAAACTACCAAAACAGAAGTGTAGCTACAGAACTGACAGTTTCTAGGAGGTCATGAAGACAAACCACTAAAACAGAAGTCTAGCTACAGAAATGACAGTTTCTTGGGGGTCATTAAGACAGGTATGGTCTGGGACGGGCATATTATAAAGCAATTACAATGAGGAATTTATACAATAGTGATCTTGTGAAACACCCCATCTCAAGGGTGAGATTACATAGCCATGAAAAATGTATAAGAATCAAAATGGCTTTCATTGAGGATTTGATATCAAGATGTCTGCGAATGTATACAGCCATCTAAGAAGAACCCATTCCGAGTACAGACAGAATACCTTGTAAGGTACCATTAGCCACAGAGCAGGATCCAAAGTGAAATAAAAAAAGCATTAGTGAGGACTTAACTCATGTCACAACTGTGCCAAAGTCTGTAGAATAGCAATAGGTGATACCCCGAGGAACCAAAAACAGCAATGTGGTGAAGGCAGTGGGTGATGAAAGTGCAGAGTCATCTACATGCCCAATCATAGAATCTCTTAACATAATGATGAGAGGTAAGGGAGAAGGTAAGGTGATGGATTTAATGTGAGGAAACGTGAAAGAGATCACACTGAGAATGAGACAAGGAGGAACAGGCCAACTAGATTGAATGTCGAACCCAACTGGTCAGGGTAACCAGGAAAAGATCATGGGAAGAGGAAGGTTGACAAGGGATAAAAAGGTGGGAACGAGGACCCTAGAAGGAAGCCATGCAAGCAAGCAATATAACAACAGAAGTCATGGACAGGACAGAGGAGTCTATCTGGATCAGGATGAGGGCAGAGATGAGATACAGAGGATAGGCAGGTAGGGGGGAAAAAAAGGACTTGTCTTATTGAGCTGCAACAGTCTTGGGAAGAAAAGCACGATCCGAATAAAGGATAATGTAGGAGGAGTGGTACAAGGTCCTGATAATGTCGAGGGCGAAAATATCCGACCTACAATACCCACAGGCCAGAAATAAGAGGAAATATGCCTGCAAAGAGAGGTGAAACAGGAAATACATAGACAGAGGTTTGAACGGAGGTAGAGTTATGGCATGAAAGACCACGTTAATGTCCCAGTCTGGGAGCTAGTGACGCTTTGGTAGCCAATGGAGCCAGAAGGAACAAATCAACATGGAAAGGAAGGGGGGGGAAGCAAAGACTCTGCAGAAGCAGGAAAACTGGAATGTATGGGATAACACTGCCCAAAACCACTGAAATCAAGGAGACCGAAGAAACCCTCTCAAAGAGCCATATAAAAAACATGGAGATACAGGTAACTGTTGGGTAAGTATCTCAGAAATTGCAGACTCACTGCTCATGAGTGGGAAATGCTCTATTTGCATTGATAGACAGCCAAAGAAGAAGGGTAAATGGAATGGGCTAAATGTGAAACTACTCTGTGAGAGAAACCAGAACTCCTCACCAAGGACCTGACAAAAGCCAGGCATAAAGACAAAGGTCATGGGATGGAGTACCGGTGACTCGGGTTGATGGAGCAAGTCGGGATGGAAGGGAGCAATTACCTGCAGTTGGAGCAATAAGAAGGACCGTGCATGGATGAGGGAGACCACCCAATGAAGTAAGCAGATGGGACAGATGAGACCAATCTTGGCAGAAGGCATCGACAGCCAAGGATTGAGGATGGGGAACCGAGGACCAAAACCAAGGTAATTTGTGATTGAGAGTGGTGGCAAAGGCATCAATATGGGATGTACCCAGATGCAGGTAGAACCAACCCCAACAACTGTTGGGTGAGAAAAGGAAAGTTCACATGCTGATAAGCAAGGGCAGACTGACCCAAATTCCATTGGGGAAGGGGGAAAAAGACTAAATAGGATTGGAAAGTGTAAGAGGGAAGGTCTAGGGTCACAGAAAACAGGTGTAAAGGACAAAACCTCACATACCTGAGAGATAAAGTCTGAAAAGACTAATGTCAGACGATCTGAATCATCAGGTAACGAACAGGAGGGCGTGGCAAACTCTGGGGGGTGGGCTGGGGGAACAAATGATCAAAATCATCTTCAGCATGGCCTGGCCCTGAAAGGCTCAGGAGGAAGTGAAGCATAAGTAGATGAAAGAGGTTGGCTCATATACTACTCAATCTCCTGGCAAATGAGTGACAATATATCCCCTGATGGGTCCCCCATGCCCATGCTTGAAATATGGAATCAGATGATGCTGAAGTACCCAAAGTGGTGACTGTACCTTTGGAATTCATAAACAGGAAACACAAGGTAGTAATGCTTTATCAAAATATTAACTCCACAACTGTGAAGTGTTGTAAATAAAGTTATGAAAAATATAAACCACTTCAAGGTAACTGGACAATGTAAAAAAAAATGTCTGAACTCAACAGCTGCCAAACAAAAAGTAATAGTTAGGTAGTGGTGCATTGAGGGAGTAGCCTGCGTCACACGATAGTAGTGCTCTCCTATTGGTGGAGATGTGACACATGATGATTTGCATGAGAGATGTGTTGGAACTGTGGATTTCAACAGAGAGAGGACGAAGGCTTGTGGCATGCATATAGAGGGCAGCACAAAATAAGAAAAGCTAACCTTGTGAGAAGAAGGAGAGTACCTTATCAGAAATCAAATAAATCTTACAAAAAGAAATCATGCCCCCCACAAAATCTTTAAAACAATATCAAACTAAAATTCAAAAGTATCATTCTCTGAAACAAAAGTCAAATAAATCTTGAGGAAAGATTTCATGCTCCTGTAAGATCTTTAAAACAAGAGTTGATTCTATATCAAACTAAAATTAAAAAGTCCAACATGAGTTTACTGTTGCGTGGAAAGTTAGTCTACATTTGCCATATTTACATATATTCTAAAACTCCATCATAAAGTCCTCTAAAACATGACTGACCAAAAGTGGACTGTCATGATGATCAACAAGATGAGAAAGTTTTATTTTCAGAAGTGTAGCTATCAATCCATCAAAGGTGTTTTGTTACAGAACCACATTCTCAAACTCACCAAAAAAACATACATAAATTCAGTAATTGTTTGTTTGTTTGTTATAGATTTCCTGCAAAACTACATGAGGGCTATCTGCGCTAGCCGTCCCTAATTTAGCATTGTAAGACGAGAGGAAAGGCAGCTAGTCATCACCACCCACCGCCAACTCTTGGGCTACTCTTTTACCAACGAATAGTGGGATTGACCATCACATTATAACGCCCCCACGGCTGAAAGGGCGAGCATGTTTGGTGTGATGGGGATTCGAACCCACAACCTGCAGATTGCGAGTCGAGCGCCCTAACCACCTGGCCATGCCGGGCCAAAATTCAGTAATATAGATCCTTAAACTTACCTCTCGAAGTTCCTCATTTCCTTCTATGATATTTTCTGTTGTCCCAGCTACGGTCTCTGCTATTCTGTTGACATCACTCTCCTTTTTGTGGAAAAACATTTTAGTAGCTCAACTTTATTAACATTTTCAACATGTTTGTATGCTATTTTATATTTATATTTTAATAAAAAAATCTAAACATTGAGCATTAACATTGCATTAACTGAAAAAAATTTCAAAAATAGTAATACAAATATGGTAAACAGAGGATACAGCTACTATTTCATAAGGAGCCATACACTGTTCAAGCAGTGATGTGTTTTTTAATAATATATGTTGTACAACTTAGACATATGAAAACTTAAAACCAAAATTCAATTAACTCTTTCCATATGGGCTTGAGGTTTCACTGAGTTACATTCATAATTTAATTAAACTACTTTATTATCAAATTATATGAAAAAACTTTGCATCAAAACATAATTAATAAATTGAGTTTTAATATTATATAAGTTTTAAGAAAATATTTGAAAACCCCCAATTTCCTTTAGTATGAGAATTGTGACATTTGCTCTCCAGGCCTTCTCTCTTTTCTTGTATATTTACCACCCATCTGAGAAGTACAAAATTTAATGTAAATTATTCATTATAATATTGTTATTACTCAGGCAAAGCATAATTTTTATAGCCTTCAATCTTATTTGGTTACAGAGCCATAAGCTAAAAAATCAGAACCCCTCTTGCCACTTCTAACTTTACATCCTCTCTTTCACAAATTGTCAATAGATCTTGTTGACATTTAACACTATATTATTCATAATCAATAGAAAGCCAAATTTTTAATCTATCAAATGGCTTATTATAGTGGTGTTTTCTATCTATTTCGCTTCCAGTTAAAACTTTATTCCTGTGGAAAACATTTCGATGACCTTAGCTGAATTTTTAACGGCTCTTATCGCATGGTTAGAAAGCCAGAAAAATTATGATAGTTATAGGACATTGTCTGCTTTTCATGTTGTTATTCTGTGTTCTTTAGTGCATTACTTAATTAAATAAAACATTATTTAGTGCAGTAGCACCATTAGTATAACAAAGTAGACTTAACTTTCATCAAGAGTCAACAGCAAAAAAGAAGACCTAGGTAAGTACTATATTTCTTGTTTTTCAGGTGTATTATTTATTATTATTATTATAAAAGTAATTAAAATGTAAAAACTAGAAACTTATGAGGTTAGATTAAGTAAAATAAAGAAAAATACTACTAATAAAAAGTTTTCACAAGGTACACTTGCAATCAACTCGCAAATAACCCATGCTTTTCGCTAGGGTGACATCAGCTACACATTCACCAAGTGATTTACCACTTTTGTGGTGGGATTATTAGTTAGATGCAATTCAATAATAAAACAACAAAATTTGAGTAGAAGTAGATGTATACTGTTATGAGTTTTAAGCTGTTTAGGATAAACAAATGTAGTTTCCTGTTGCAATTTGAAGTCATTGTAAAAAGGGTAATTTAGATTTATTTCTTATGGAGATTACAAGGTCACTGACCTCATATAGAAATGTATGGTTGCGAAAGTTTTAGTGAACAAAAAAATAATTTATTTAGGAGGTTTTGAGATTACACAAAGGAAATTTGACAATATTCATATGAAGAAAAATATTTTTCATTTTACCATGAAAATCAGTTTGCTCTCACAGCAATCAATACTCTGACTCCAAACATTCATGGAGAAGTTTTTAGTTTAAATACTTCATTATAAATTCAGATTTTTTTTGTCTACAAAAAGACTTAATGCTTACTGAAAGCATATTACAAGTTATAGTATGGAAAATATAAAGGTCATTTTGGGATCACAAACTGAGTCAATTCGATTGGGTCCATAACACGAGTGTTAAGCAGAAAATAACACCTTTCTCCTCACCTGCTGAAGAACTTTCTCTGTAAATATTTCTTGAAGTTTGGAAATTTCAACAACTTTTCCCTGTATTTGCCTGAAACAGAATATTTGTGATTGATATCAGTTTTTAATAAAGTGCAAATAGGCAACATTGATAGTCAACGATTAAAGGATAGTAAAATGATGCATGGTAACACATTCAGAATTTCCTAAAAAGTATTTCACCAGTGCTACTTGATAATATCTATTTTTCTTAATCAATTAACATTTACTTAAACAATTTCTGACTCGTAAACATAACATGATCATATAGTCTACATTCTTTCAATGGACTTTCTGTTTAACCTTAAGATCTTATTGTACAAGTTGGATTTGTCACTTTGGCATCACTTTCATAAATTAATGGCTTAGACTTATGTCACAAAAATCACTTTTGAGCAATGGAGTTAGAAATTTAAACTAATTTTACTACAGCAAAAATATTAGGGTCTTTGAGTCTGGAACACTTTAGATTTTTCAAGCCAAGATTTTTGTTCGATTTACCACTGTGTAACTTAATGTGTATAATTTCAGCCATGTAAAGGAAATCAGTTGATGATACCAATAACGATTCCTGAAGATTCATTAAACACTGAATGAAGATTTTTGTGTGTAAAACAGCTATTATCTATATTTCAAGGTGAAATGAAAATGAATAAAGATAAACATGTGATTACCACTTTCGAAGAAAACATTCATTGTGAATCACACCAAACGCACCAAGATATTACTACTAAATTTCATAACTTAAAATAAATTAATATTTTTTAATTCTCACAGCTGTATCTTATTTTTTATAATTTAAGTGTACTATACAACTAATAATATCTATACAACTAATAATATCTAAGAACTAATAATATCTGAACAAATAATAAAATCTATACAATTAATATCTAAACAACTAATAATATCTAAACAGCTAATAAAATCTATACAACTAATAATATCTAAACAAGTAATGATATCTATACAACTAATAATATCTAAACAACTAATAATATCTGAACAGTTAATAATATCTATACAGCAAATAATACCTAAAGAAGTAATAATATCTAAACAACTAATAATATCTATACAGCTAATAATATTATACAACTAATAATATCTAAACAGCTTATAATATCTATACAACTAATCATATCTATACAACTAATAATATCTAAATAGCTAATAATATCTACACAACTAATAATATCTAAACAGCTAATAATATCTATACAACTAATAATATCTAAACAGCTAATAATATCTAAACAGCTAATAATATCTATACAACTAATAATATCTAAACAACTAATAATATCTATACAGCTAATAACATCTAAACAGCTAATAATATCTATACAACTAATCATATCTATACAACTAATATTATCTAATATACTAATAATATCTATACAGCTAATAATATCTATACAACTAATAATATTGTTATGTCTCCATTCGTTCGTTAGTTAATTTTCCGTAAATTCGTTCTGAAGAAACTTTAGGGACAGA